CAGACAGTGAATTTACTAATAATAGGAGTAAATTTGGTTTGACCAGTTCTCGGAAGGCAGTTGAAAAGTATGCAAAAAGTAAACGGGTCCAAAAAAGTAGGCCATATTATTTTATATGGAATTTATAAAAAGTAAAGTAAGAATATTATGAATTGGTCAAACTAATCCATGTGGACTCAACTACTCCCAAATATTTCCCCAACTTAATTCTGAAGAAAACAAAATCAATAGCCTGGCTAATTGACTACTAATATTTTACATACAATATTGTTCTCTAGTTTCAAGGAGTTAACCAAAAGTCAAAAACAATTTTTTTCCCTTCTTTAAGCTTAGTTTAACAAGTAGCCAAAAATAAATAAATAAATAAATAACACAACGGTCGAACGCATTCTGCCCGTCGGCCGACTCTAGCATTCGAGCTTTGGATAGCACAATGATCGAAAGCATTCTACCCATCGTCCGACCCTAGCATCCGAGCTTCGGATACTGAATAGAATAAATTGGAAAGAACATGCATAGATTGGTTGATCACAAAATTTCTAAAACTGAAAAGGTTTATCCTTTCTATTGCATTCATGCTTAAACGGTTTTTACACTTCATTGCACTATGTTTCCACCAGTCTACAGTCTAGGGTTCCTCTACACCAAATAAAGGTTTAGAGAACGAATACCATCCTCTCTTAAAAGTTCGACTGAAGGGTCATGTCAAAAAACATGCCTATTCGAATCAATCGCTTGAGATTCTCAAGTTCTCGAGCAGCTCAAGACAAGATAAACAAGGATGTCAAAACTAGGTTTAGTAATTACATAATCTACCGACGTCCATTTGCCCAGTGCCTGTTATGGTTTCCAGGCCTCATGTGCTGATTCCTCTGGGCAAGACTCTGCTTGGGAAGATCACGAAACTCCACAACTTGTACTGTCCGCTGCTTCTTGGCTGTTGGCACATTATAAGAAAATTCAGATAGACGAAAAATGTGATTTTATGAAATAATTCATCGCGCGTATTCCATAAGATCTCCTAGCACCAACTATTCGCATTAAGAAGTGTGAATTTTGAAATAGGACAAACTAACCGTTTTCAGCTTCTTGATAGCGTTCGTGGAGCTTCCTCTTTGCAGCCTCTAATTTTACTCTCACCGAAGCCTCATCGTTGCCCCTCAATGTCTGTTAAAAGCAAAACTTAGAACAGTCGTATAAACGATAAAGCTTTAAAGCCAAACACCAATAAATCTGTATTCATGACACACACATCTTGTTGAGGCAGCATGGGTTTCTTCTGAATCATGCCTTTGTCAGCTTTCTGCAGGACCTTAATCTCATTTTTAACCTTGCTTTGCAAGGCTAGTCTCGGCTTCCCGGGTCCAGTTTCATGGCTGGGCGGCTTATTTGGTTTACACATAGGGGTTTGTTTCTTCACCACAGCTTCCGGATCCTTCTTTTGATCACCTTTTGCATCCTTTGGACGAGTGCTTGAATCAGGAGTCTGGTCTTTCCTTTTAGGGATACTTGATTTCTCAAGTATCGGGCTTCTGACATTTTCACGGTTCTTGTTGAATTCAGGAGTCTCATCTTTCCATTTTGGGATGCTTGGTTTCCCAAGTGTTGGCTTTCTGCCATTTGCGCGGTTCTTGTTGAATTCCCCACTGTTTCGAGGATCCAGAACGACGTCCCCAACTAAAATCATACATCTCCATTAGTGGGGAATTCAAATAAAGAACCGAGTAGCAAAAGCTGTACTAAAAGAGCATGATCATAAGGATCGGGAAAAAAACTCACTTCCATCATCATCCATGCCATCAAAGAACTTCCAAAACGGCAATAGAAGGAAGCAAGACAAGCAAATCTAAGTCAGCACATAAACACAAATGAAAATTATATAAGTTTTTAGCCAAGAAAGGCTGTAAAATATTACACCTGTGACAGTTCCATTGAAGTAGGTGTAGCAAAAAAGGCTCCTTCATCCATTGGAGGAGATGGAAGCCCTTCCTCTTCTTCAAAAGCAGACGTTTTCACAGATTCTTTTGCAACTTCTGCACCTGTAAACGAAAGTAACACAATAATTTCCTATTGAAAGTAAATAGTTAATTTTAGATACATGTTCTATAGAAAGAACTTCCAGATGAACAACCTGTAATGGCCTCTGTAGCATCAGCCCATTCATCAACCATGATTGTCCAATCCCTGCATTACAAAATGCTTCTGTTATTCGTGTACTTCTGATTTAAAGAAATAATTGAGGCGTGACAAAATATCCACGTGTCGTTCAGATGCAAAAATGCCAAATTATTAAACTCTGACTACTGTTAACATGAAGATTACGTGAATACTATACACATAAGACGAGTTTAATCAAACTTCATCCTTGAAAAGTTGGTCTCATCTTAAAGTGAATTGTCAGATTAGAAAAGCAAGTAAATAAAAGAGATTTGATCAACAACCATCAATGTGATCGGTTCTTTCTTCTCGTGCCAGAACAAATCAATATCTAACAGGAACTAAAGCTGTAGTAACGTTAAGTTACGACCAGATATAAAAGATCAAGACAACAATCTCGAATGTGTAATCAGCATCCATTAACTAAAGCGCTCAATGACAACAACTGTGACAGAGCTAAGAGGCCATAGACCATACCCAACTAATGCTTTTACAAGATTACGAATCTCCTTTGATCCATGCTTCCGCAGAGCACTAACAGATTTTCCAATCTCCGCAGCCTGACATAGAAAGAAGTTAAGAATGGTTCTCAGAACTTCTATACAAGATCGAATAGGCTAAAATTCTTCGCCAAAATTAGCAAAGCATAATTATCAACCAGTAAAGGATTCTACTCAAACCTTCAGAATCTCTACGGACAAAGCCATCAGTTGAAGCCTCCTCAGTGAGTCAAACAATAATGAAGCTGACTGCCAGGCAAAAAAACCAGCCAAATTGAGCTTTCTTGAGGAAAGAACACATAAAGCTAGCTAAAGTAATCAGGTAATATTCGCATAATCGAACATTAATCAGCAACAGCATTTCCGTAATCTATCAAAACTTATAAACTAAGCAGTGGGAGATTTTTTACTGTTTCGAAAAATACCTTGCTGCAAAAGTCCTAGTAAATGAAACCTTTGGTACAATTAGACAACATTCACATTCCAATTTAACATAAAAAAAGAACTAATCCTGACTATCTAAAAGTTAGTAGAACAGATCACAATTCATGCCGATTAAATGAATTAGCAAAGCAGATCCGAAAAGCCCATCTGCAAATTGATGAAAACAAAAACTAAATACAGAATTTAACTGCAGTGAATAGAAATAAACCTCTTCTTCACTGTTGTCAAGAATTTCTTTAATCCTCAAAACCTCTCCGAGCAACTGAGATTCCTCCTCAAGTTCATCAGTCAATGCCTCTGCTTCTCCGTAACCGAAATTGTTGACATGATTCACATTCATCTCCGTATGATCATGTCCATTGCTATGCACTGTGCTTTCTTTTGTGTCTTTACTCCCACCAGCCTCATTTTCACTCTTGTACTTTTCATCACTCTTTTCTGCCTCATGTTCACATGGAACAACCAATTCAATTCTTTCACACCCAAAACACTTTGTTTGTTTACATGTGAAAAGCATCTCCGCAATTCTGCCCCTCTTCAGTTTGAAGTCACAAGGGCAATCAGAGGCTGCCACCATAATTGCGTGCTCAATTATAATAAAGATATCTGAATTTGAACTCCTGAAATACTCCCTCCATCTATCAAGAGTCCCTGAATTGTTGGTCATGTTGAAAAAACTCAATTCAGATGGCCTTTATTCAATGGAAATTCCAGTCACTGCCCAGATTTAAGAAATAGGAACCTTAATAAAAATGGGTAAACTCGATCCTGATGATACCGAGAAATCAAAAGGACTCGAGTTCTCAATTGAATTCTTACTGATAATTTAGGTTGAGTCTCAATTTTGACCCAGAAATTCTGATGTGCATTTCTTAGAACAAAATAGGAAAACCAGTTCACTTTAAAGATGATCAGTAATGATGATGAATTCTAAACAGATTGCGTCCACAGTGAACCAAAAAAAAAAAAATCTAGATAATCAACAACAATTCCCAAAAAATATATGTAAATGCGCTATTCCGGGGAATTCTTCAAACCGTTCAAAAATAAGTAAAAAATCCATAGTGGGTTTTGTTCAGACATAGAGATGAAAAGGGAATTTACTCCACAAAAATCAATGGAGAAATCCGGAGAACAGTTATGTGCTTTTTTAGGGAAATTTGGTGAAGAATAATGTTAAAAACTAATGTTACTCTCTCTCTCTCTCTCTCTCTCTCTCTAAACACAATACAAGGTGCTGCTAGACAAACAAGTTTTTCTATTTTTCAAGGTTTTATTTAATTTTTAATTTTTGGAGTTGTAAATAGACAGGTGATCAACACAAAGAAACCGGTTCACATGTCTGTTGCTTACACAGCCCGTTTCCAAAATCCCTCCCGTTTTTCAACTTTCAATACAATTGTGCTAAAAATAACGTTATTCAATATTCATTCCATGTAATTAACTAATGTAAGTGATTGAACCCCAACTTAGAAAGCCTCCACCGTCTCACCCTTAAAGCTTTGTGAGGAAGGTAAATCGTGAGATGTGTTCCATCAGGTCAGGGAACAATAGCTGTTTGTACACTGAGTCTACAAGGAGTCCAATTTCATGTCTCAAGAATCGAACTCCCATACTGCGACTGCCAGTAAGACGTGAGATAACCTCAATCATATCCTTTGCAACTAATGTTATTTATAATGTGAACTATCGGTAGTCACAACTTACCAATTTATTTATTAACAGATAATATAAAGAAATTTAACAGAGTCAAAATCTCTTTAATTGAATAAAAAAAATTTCTCTTACTTTCTTTTTGTCATTAACCAACATCACATAAGCGCAACTGTTTAAGTGATGAAAAGATTTTGACACTTCTAGTTCAATTTATCGCTATCTCATGAACCTGTAAAAGAATCAGTATATGATAACGTGTAATAAGCATTTTCCTTTTCAATTTGCCCCTGGACCTTTTTCCTTATTTTTGGACCCATTTTCTATCAAAATTTTGTAGCTAAATCTAAGAGAAAATAGAGATCTTTTATCCAAAGTGGTAACATTTGTTACTAACTTTTTACCTCGTCTCTATTATTCGAAATATTTCATGGCATACACTACACTATCTACACGTTGTTGACATGAAATCAATTTCCACGTACACGTGTGCGAATAATGCAACTATAAAAAAATTCAACTAATCTTAGGTAAGAACAGAGTATTTTTATATTGATTGTTATGATCTGATCCAATACATGACTAATGCAAATTGGAATAGTAAAATACAAAATAAAATAATTGTTATTTTCTTAAATGAGTATAATTCAAAAACTAGATTTATTTATTTATTTATAATACAAGTCGATATTACATTTTTGGAATTTTTTTTTTTTATTTTAATTTTAATTTTGGTTTTTCTTATTTGTCTTTCCGAAAATGTAGACGCGTTTGTTCAATGGAGAACAACCGGTTGCCAGTTGCCACCGATTAGGCGGGATGGGGTCTGTGTGTTTGAAATACTCGGCGACCCGATTTTGTTCTATAGCGCGCGCCTAATTGGCGTAACGTGGTGAGATAAGAACAATACAGATCTCTGCCTCAGTCAATAAGTGGGACCCACTTTCTAGTCTTCTTTATTTGTATGAATGCATGAATCTTATCCTCCCCCCATTTTGTTACAATTTTCTTTCCATAGTTATGTGTTTAATGCGTGAAACTATTTTATTTGACTTTATTTATTTAAATAATATTATTTGCAGTCATTTACTATTGTAGTCGTCCAACGTCACATACATGTGACGGTATATGTGACGGTTAGTAATTTAATATATAGGACAAAAAAATTATCATTTTAACACATCAAATCACAGGACGTCATGTAAGATGTCACATATGATGACTATCGTAATGAGCGACTATGAATAGCATTACTTTTTTTTTCAATAATTAATCGTCATTCTCAACTTTATTTATGTTTTTATTTCTTAAATGAAATTTAAATTATAAAAAATTAGAATCAGAACGATGATTAATTCATGATAGAATCAGGAGATCTCAATCCCAAAGCATGTACAACGATACTTAAATTATAATTTAAGTCACAAACTTTATAAATATGTTATAATAAGTGAATAGAAGTTCAAAGTCATACATTGTGTGTGCATAATTTAAATATTTGATCAGTTTAATTTATAATTTGAAGTTTATCAAAAATGTTTTCGAGACAAGACGATGCAAGAGAGACAAGGATTTTTTTAATTTTTAATTTTCTTAGTGTCTTGACTATCATCTATTGCATTGTATTTATCATTTTCCTATTTTAATAACTAAGAAAATGAAGGAGAAAAAGCAATTTTTTTTATACTAGTCAAAATTAAACGTGCATTACATGTTATTCTAAAATACTTTATAAGTGATGTAAAAATAATTTTTGGTACCAATATATTGGAAAATTTGATGAGTCTCAGACGAATTAAAGAAAATAATATTTGACATAGAAATTTAAGAGGGAAAAATTGTACTCAAATTATACTTTCAAAACTCAATTTCTATGATTCAATTTTTTTTTTTTTTTTTGTAATAAATGAACAATCTTTTATATTACATTTGATACATAAAAATTAATTGTTAATTCATAAATTTAAACACTCGTTAAAATTTTTAAATACATGAATATGAATAAAATCATCTATAATAATAACTCTAGATTCATGTAATTCAAGATTTATCAAGTGAAAATTCATTGAATCTAGGTTAATGTGAATGTTAATCAATTGAGAATTAATAACACAAATTTCATAAATGCCAATAATTATGTAGCATTTATTACATATCGAAAAACGAAAAGTAAGATATTATTGAAATAATTCAATTGTAGGGATTTCAAAATCGTCCAAAAATGATTCTCCCTTAATGTGATATTTTCATAGATTATAGATTATAGATAGTTTAGCGCAAACAGACCCTAACTGTGATTTTAATCAAGTTCGTATTTAATTTGATGAGGATAATCTTGACTGGCTTTGTCTTCTATTAAAAGAATTAAAACATTAATTACAAATTATTTGATACCATTAATTTCTACAGTAGAAAAAGAATCAATTTTCACCATTTTTGGCTTGAGTAATCTTTAATCATGTTGAGATTACCAAAATCACATTAATCAGTAGACCCAATGTCAATATTTCCAATTAATGCACAATTAATTTTGCATTTATTGCAAAAACAATTTTCTTTCAAGCGTTACAAAATGCCAGCTATCGACATTAAAACAACGTAAATACTTTATTGATTGTGATAAGAAAAAGGATGTTAGATTTTGTTTGTAATAGGAGAATACATTCTTTTGAACGATTTTTAACCCCCTATAATTTAATTATTTCAATAAGATCGTACTTTTCATTTTTCGATCTGTAATAAATACTATATAATTATTATCATTTATAAAATTTGTATTATTAATTATCGATTAATTAACATTCACATTAACCTAAATTCAATGAATTATTACTTGATGAATTTTGAATTTTATGAATTTAGAGTTATTATAGATGAATTTATTCATATTCATGTATTTAGAAATTTTAATGAGTGTTTAAATTTATAAATTAACAATTAATTTTTATGTATCGAATGTAATATTAAAAAAATTGCTCATTTATAGTATTTTATCATTACAAAAAATTTGAATCATAGAAAATGAGTTTTGAAAGTACAATTTGATTAGTATAATTTTATTTTCTTAAATTTTTATGCTAAATTTTATTTTCTTTAATTCGTTCAAAACTTATCAAATCTACCAACAAATTAGTATCAAATATTACTTTTACATCACTTATAAAAGTATTTTAGTCAACTTCAAAAAATTGAAAGATCAGTTGGGTCGATTGTATTACTATAAATCAGGTTTTGACGTGAGTAAGTGCATATTGGTCTGCTTATCCACATGGACCGGTTAGTGGGTTGTCACAGGATTTTTGATTGGGTCGGTTTGAATTAAATAAAAAAAGATTAATATAACAAAATTTGAAAATTATTAACAAATCATTTTCACATACCCCCTTAAAGTACAGTGTTCAGTATTTTAATTAAACAGTAACATGAAACACTGAGTTCCATAATTTAAGAGTATTAAAAATTTCTCCTTTGCTTCAATATCCGTGAAATTCACTTTTCTTTTTCTTTTTCATTTTTTATTTCATTAAAAAATATTTTTTTTCATCCGTTTCCTCACGATTACAATACGTTTATATTTTAGTAGGGCTGGACATGGTTCGATTCGGTTCTAACGAGAACCGAATCAACGCGAAATTTTCGGATATTTAGTAAGTGGAACTGTCGGGTCCAAATTTAATTACGGAACCATTCGGGTTCGGTTCCATTCGATTTGATTCGGTCTGGTTAAATTCCATTCGATTTTGTATTATAATTAAATTTTTTAATATATACAAAGTTACGTTAATTTAATTAATGATATGTTCAATATTAGCTCTTACAAATTAACGTAATTCAATCTTATGTGTTTCACGTCTTTTTTTGCTGAATTCTTCATAAATTTGATTATTAAAATCACAGAAAGAGAAAGAGAGCGAACTCAAAATAATTAAAAGAGATGTTGTAGAGTTTTAATTCGATTTTCTCCAGCAAAAACGACACTACAGTAGAATAACAGATTTGGATAAAATTGATGTCAATTTGATTAAATTGATTTTGAACTGAAAATTAGAAATAGGAAAATCATATTTTGTGGTTTGAACTAAATTAACTAGTTAACAAATTTATTTAGAAAAAAAAAAATTTACTTATTTAAAATAAATTAATTAAAAAAATTATGGAGATTCGGTTCTTCGGGTCTTGGCCTAGAATCGAGAACCGAATCATACCCGTCGATTTTTTATTCAAATACCCGTTCGGGTATTTAACTTGAGAAGAATCGTCGGATTCGATTCGGTTCGGTTCGGGAGTTTTGTCCAGCCCTATATTTTAACTGTCATTTTTTGCTAAGTATCTATCTACAACGTTGTAAACTTGAACGACGAAAAACCTATAAAATAGGTTTAGCGAGATTCATCATAGTTATGAGACCCTAATATATGGGTTACTTCAGGGACATAACGCCTAGTGCTTGAACATTGGCTCTCAATATCACTCGATCATTATCAAACCGATTGCAATTTGTTTCCGTCAGTGAGGATTCCACCAAAGTGCCTTCTATTTCTAAGAGGTCATGAACTAGATCAGAATCATTCTCAACGAGT